AAGGATGGTGAGTAGGAGTGCCACTTATGTCTTTGCAGTGCCACTCATGTCTCTACAGTGCCACTCATGTCTCCTCTACAGTGCCACTCATGTCTCCTCTACAGTGCCACTCATGTCTCCTCTACAGTGCCAGTCGTGTTCTTCGGGTCGTCGGAGTACAAGGTGGAGGAGTCAGTTGGGTCAGTCGAGGTCACGGTGTGGCGAACTGGCACTGACCTGACCCGTGTGGCCAGTGTCCAGGTGGCCTCCAAGCCTCTCAGTCCTCCACAGGCGCAAGGTGAGTCACGTGACCCTATATGGCCTCCAGGGGTCACGTACAATAGCCACAAGGTTAGGTTAGGTCATATTGGACTAGGTTAGATTAACTAGGTTAGGTTGACTAGGTTAGGTTAGGTCATATTGGACTAGGTTAGGTTAGGTTAGACTAGGTTAGGTTTAGGTTAGGTCATGCTGGACTAGGTTAGGTTAGGTTTAGGTTAGACTAGGTTAGGTTTAGGGTAAATAATCTTATAGTATAATAAACTGGTGTGGATAATGATCAGGTAATCCAAAAATTATAAAAAATACCATTAACAATCATGTTTCTCTCCAGCGGGATTCGACTACGTGGCCGTGGGTCGTCAGGTAGACTTCCTCCCCGGTGTGCAGGTGAGGAGCGTCGTGGTGCAGGTGGTGGACGACCTCGGTGTGCCCAGGCTGGAGGGACTGGAGGCGTTCACTCTAGTACTGCACCTCCCTCATAACGCCTCCCTTGGTGACCCTGCTACTGCCTCCCTCACCATCGACGACTCCCTCTCTGACTGTGAGTGTGTGTGTGTGTGTGTGTGTGTGTGTGTGGGTGTGTGTGTGTGTGTGTGCAGAGTTGTGTATATGTTATAATGATGTATGTATGTCTCTGCAGTGTGTCATGTATACGTCTAATGTGTGTGTGAGTATTGGTCGTCTCGTGTCCACAGTGCCCAGGTTCCAGTTCCGTGAGGAGAAATACTCTGGCTACGAGGGTGACGGGGAGGTGACGGCCTGGATCATCCGCGGCGGTGACCTCTCCCACCACGCCTCCGTCAGGTAAGTCCTCATACTTCTGTCTATGATTTAACAGCCTATGTTACCACTGCCATACAATATAATCCTTCTCACTTAGCTCCTTCCACTGATCAGAGCTTCACCTCCACTACTGACCAAGGCACTCAGGTAACACAACTCTTCGACACACACACACTGAGGCCCTCATTACCTGGGCATATAACACACTTAGAAGGTATATAACACAGGACAAACACTCATATCATAGAGCTTCACACAGCACTAATTATACGTGAATGTTGTAGCCTGTACTAACGTGTGAGTGTGTCCTGCCAGGTGCTACACGCGGCAGGACACAGCTCACGTTACTGATGACTTCGATGAGAGACCCGACACCAATGCCTCCTTCGTCCACTTCCTGCCAGGTAATGATAGCATCTCTCCTCCCTCTCCCCCTTCCCCTCCCTCTCCCCCTCCCTCCCCCTCCCTCTCCCTCCCTTCAGTATATTGTACCTGTAGAACTGATCGTCTTGTACAGCTTCTTCCATTGTTATCTAACCTAACCTAACCACTCACCACTGTGCGTCTGGTGCAGGTGAGAGTGAGCGGCCGTGCACAGTGATCCTGGTGAACGACCTGGTGCACGAGGGGGAGGAACAGATCTACCTGGTACTGGGGTCACCTGTCTCACCTACTGCAGGAGGAGCCAGCGTGGGGGTCCGGCACTCATCCACCCTCACCATCAACGACCAGGCCGATAGTGAGTACCTCGGGCACACACACACACACGCACACACACATACACACACACACATACACACACACACATACACACACACATACACACACACCTAATACATGTATCCTCTTCACCTTCAGGAGCGACGGTAGGCCTGGAGGAGACCCGTGTGAGTGTGGAGGAGCCAGAGGGCGTGGGAGAAGCGCGGGTGGTGAGGCTGGGCGTGGTGAGAGGCGGGGACACCTCCACCAGGGTCGCCGTCAGGGTTCATACTAAGGACGGTTCCGCCACCTCCGGCTATGACTACTACCCCTTAAGTCAGGGTGAGGAGCTGTCATCGTCATCATCATCATCATCATCATCATCATCATCATCATCATTATCATCATCATCATCATCATCATCATCATCATCACCATATGAAGGAAAGTGAAAATAACAATAGTGTCAAGGTGTTGTGTTGTGACTCACCTGATGTATTGATATTCATGTCTCTCTCTCTCTCTCTCTCTCTCTCTCTCCTTGACAGAGATGGTGTTCGCAGCCAACGTGAGCCGCCTGGAGGTGGAGGTGAAGGTGGTGGGAGATGACGTCAAGGAGCACCTTGAGGCCTTCACCGTACACCTCAAGGCCCTACCCACACCTCCTTCTCCACCCTCCTCCTCCTCGTCTTCCTCCTCCTCCTCCTCCTCCTCGTCTTCCTCCTCCTCCTCCTCCGTCGTCCACATTACCACCTCCAAGAGCGTCGTGTATATTAAGGTATATATCTGATGTTGTTTATGTAATTTACACTCTCCTCCTCCTCCTTCTTCTTCCTCTTCTTTACTCACCCTCCTCTTCTCCTTCCTCTTCTTCACTCTCCTCCTTCCTCCTTCTTCTTCCTCTTCTTCACTCACCCTCCTCTTCTCCTTCCTCTTCTTTACTCACCCTCCTCTTCTTCCTCCTCTTCACTCACCCTCCTCCTCCTCCTTCCTCTTCTTCACTCTCCTCCTTCCTCCTTCCTCCTTCCTCTTCTTCCTCTCTCCACTTCTTCCTCTTCTTCCTCACCCTCCACTTCTTCCTCCTCTTCACTCACCCTCCTCCTCCTCCTTCCTCTTCTTCACTCACCCTCCTCCTCCTTCTTCTTCCTCTTCTTCACTCACCCTCCACTTCTTCCTCCTCTTCACTCACCCTCCTCTTCCTCCTTCCTCCTCTTCTCTCAATCCTCCTCCTCCTCCTAAACCAAATAATATATATAAAACCCTCAACCAACTATTTATTACGTGTTATTATTACATAGTTCCTTATGTGTACAGCTGTAGTTAGAGTACATTGAGTACATAATTAAGTACAGGTGTTTAATTAATTCTCTTGTCTAATTAGTGACTTACCAGGTGTGTATAGGTGAGCAGTTTACCTGTCTGACTATCTGACTGTCTCTCTGTCTAATTGTGTGTCTTCCCGTCTGATTGTCTGTCTAATTGTTCGAGTGTTTGCCTGTGTCTGTCTGTCTGAGTGTCTGTCTGTCTGTCTGTCTGTCTGTTTGAGTGTCTGTCAATGTCTCACCACCACAGGAGAACACCGTAGACGTGACCTTCCACTAGCCCCAGTCGTCGTGGTCTCTTTGGGGACTATGATCTAGCCCCAGCAGCCCCTGGGAACCTATAGGCTACCCACTCATCTGTATTACGGTAAGTAGCCAGTGTTCGTGCTCCCAGGGTCTACAGGGCTATAAAAGGGGCTGCACAGGGGCTGCTGCAGGACTAAGGGGCTGAGAAGGGCTACAGGGGGCTAGGCTGCCAAGGCTACAAAACAGGCCGCCATGACTACAAGGGGCTAGTGTGTGTGTTTTACCTCCTCTGACCACACCCCCACTCAGTAACCTGTCACCTCCCACACCAACCCATCAGCCCACTCACTGACCACTCATCCCTAAATAACCCATCCTCCACTCACCAACCCATCAGCCCACTCTATAACCACTCATCCCCCCACTCAATAACCCATCACCTCCCACTCACCAACCCATCAGCCCACTCTATAACCACTCATCCCCCCACTCAGGCGTGCCACAAGCAACATCCAGAGTACAGCAGGACTGGACACCTCTGTAGCCAGCAGGGTATTAACGCCTCCCTCACCACCTACCGCTGGAGGATGGCCGCTTCCTCTGGCCTCCCACGGTGACCTCCCGCCTCCACGACCTCAACACCCACACCTTCTTCTCCAGGTTAGTTATCTCTCTTTATCCCTGTGTCTTGTTTCTTTCTTTCTTTCTTTCTTTCTTTCTTTCTTTCTTTCTTTCTTCTTTCTTCTTTTTCTTTTCTTCTTTTTCTTTTTCTTTTCTTATATTTCTTCTTTTTCCTTTATTTTTATTTTTTCTTCTTTTTCTTCGTTTTTTCTTCTTCTTTTCTTTTTTTCGTCTTTTTTTTTCTTTTTTTCTTTTTTTTTTTCTTTTTCTTTTTTTTTTTCTTTTCTTTTTCTTCTTCTTCTTCTTGCTTCTTTCTGCTTCTTTCTTCTTTCTTATTATCCGGCTTATCTATGCCATCATCATTATCTCACAGCACACGAGGCATGACCTAGACAAGGTATACTTCTTGCCTCCTGGCAATAGGGTGCAGTGTGTGGCCAGCGTACTCCATACAGGGTGAGGCAGGGGTGGAGGCCTCACCCCTGTCGTAGTGGCCACAGAGGGAGGTGTGTGCCCTCCCAGACGATATCATACCTTCGGCGCCGACCCATTCACCGCCAGACTACACTATACTGGTGAGTTATCTTGCTACTTAACTGTTCCCTAACCTAACCTAACCCTAACCTGACCTAACCTAACCCCAACCCCTACCCAATCCCGATTCCCAACCCCAACCCAACCCAACCCCAACCTGACCCAACCTAACCTGACCTAACCCAACCCCTAACCCAATCTAACCAGCCTAACCTGACCTGGGTCCCGATCCTAACCTAACTTAACTAGACCATTAGGATTCGCTCGAGTCACGATTGGGTCATTAATCAGCCTTCACTGCGGCAGACGACAGGTAACAGTTAATTATCTTATATTGATTATAATACCTGACGAATCTGCCATACAGTCTTTAATAAGATAACCTGGAAACTATTTATTTGTTTTTATATTGTGTGTGTGTGTGTGTGTGTGTGTGTGTGTGTGTGTGTGTGTGTGTGTGTGTGTGTGTGTGTGTGTGTGTGTGTGTGTGTGTGTTTTTCCATGTCACTCACACCTCCGTCACCAGGGCCTGAGACAGGAGGCAGCCTAACATGGTGCGTGTAGGGTCACTATTCCTCACCAGGATGGCCTCATACCTCTCCCTCTCCCACCCGGCCTCTCACCAGCCTCGCCCTCACACTCTCTAGGGACGCCCTTCGCCTGGGTCACCACCGCTGCTCCAACCTGCTGGATGTTCACGAGGTAGCTCTCCTCTCTTCCCTCCCCTCACCTCCCCTTCTCCCCTCACCTCCCACCCCTCACCTCACCTTCCTCCCTCACCTCCCCTCCTCCCCCTCACCTCACCTTCCCTCCCCTCACCTCACCTTCCTTCCCTCACCTCACCTTCCCACCCCTCACCTCCTTCCTCCCTCACCCTTCCTCTCTTCCCTCTCCTCACCTCCCCTTCCTTCCCCTTGTCAGTAATAAATTCCTTCATTAGGGACTGGTGGGGGGTTTATTGATTAATTATATAAGTTAAATTTTATAAAGAGATTTAATTTAACCTCATCAAGTTTATAAGAAAAAAGATATTTATTTATCATGCTTGTGGGAGGCTGGCGATTGGTACAAGGATACAGTATTAACCTTCTCACTCACTCTCTCTCTCACTCACTCTCTCTCTCTCTCTCTCTCACTCTCTCACTCTCTCACTCACTCTCTCACTCTCCTCCGGGTGTACAGGTACGGACATCTAGCGGCTTTATCAACAACCAGACAGAGAGTGACGGCGTGACAGATGGTGTATTAGGGAGAGCCTACCAGTACTCAACCTTACGCTCTCTCTCTACGCTGAGGTAAGTCTCTCTCTCTCTCTCTCTCTCTCTCTCTCTCTCTCTCTCTCTCTCTCTCTCTCTCTCTCTCTCTCTCTCAATCAATTAAATAACAATGAAACCTTTTTACCTCCTGTCCTTTACCGTCTATGAACTATACTGTCTTATCTGGGTTCAATATATTTACCTACTTCCCGTACAGAGGGACACCGTGACGTCACTGTTTGTTTACATGGGCTGAGTGTCTTATAGGTTAGTTGGATCGACCATGTTGGACAGGTACCACGTCAAGTAACGCTAAATTGAGTATTTTATTGGTGGCATTATCCAGTCCATCATGATCTAGCCTAACCTAACCTAACCTAACCTAACCCAATTATCCAAGGATGACTTTACTAGGTTAGGTTAGGTTAGAAGTGTATTGATGATAAAAAGGGTGTACAGATAAGATTGAACGAATGTGTGTGTGTGTGTCAATACAGCTCACTATACAATATAACCTAACCTAACCTAACCTAACCTAACCTAACCTTCGTGACTCAGGTTCTACCGGGCTCTGGACCTTGAGTCGTGTGTGTGGCGGTGGGTGAGTCACTACACCATGTCGGAGTTAATGAGTCAGTGTGGAGGACAGGTGAGTACAGACCAGGTGACAGAGGGCGTCCAGAGTTCCGTGGGCGTGTCGGTGCCTCTATACGTGACCTACGCCTTCCTCTCTCCTGCCGCGGCCACAGCAGACTGGCAACACACCGACCTCTCCACTCAACTCAGGTATTAAAACATCTTTCCCACAGCTAAAAAAAAAATCCTAACCTAACCTACAGTTCAGTTTTTCACATACATACATACTAAGATATATCCCTAACTACATAACATAACATAACTACATAATCTACCTGTAGGATGAGCTTCGTTTACGACACGTCCATCCTGTGGCAGCAAGGCATCGGCGCCCCTGTGACCAGTGACCTGCAGGGCACCTTGTACCCCACCTCCATGAAGGTCCGGCGTGATGGTCGCCTGCTGGTCACCTTCCGTACCCAGGCCAGGTAGGTCATAGGTTAGGTCGGGCTAAACAAAGGTGATATAACAAAGGTACTCAAACTATCCAACCAGGAGCGAACTCGTAACAATGGTTTTAAATTAGACAAATTTAGATTTAGGAACGAGATAGGTAAACATTGGTTTGGAAATAGAGTAGTGGATGAGTGGAACAAGTTACCAAACATCATCATTAACTCGAATACGCTGGATAGCTTCAAACATAGGTTGGATGGATATACGAGGGATAGGGGTTGGGTGTAAACGGGACTGCCCAGTATGGTACAATAGGCCCGCTGCAGTTTCCTCCATTCTTATGTTATCTTTCACCATTAGCACCATTATCTTTCACCACTATAGATTCCATGGCACCTTCGTTGAACACCACCGCGCCTCAGACTCCCATAGCCAAGTGACCTCAGCTGACCATCCTAACCTGACCTTCACCCTTGACCTCATCCGCTCACAGCCAACCTACACCCAGCCTGAACAACACTGGCAGGTCATCTCAGACTATGCAGTGAGTCTTATGCTCTGAGTCTTGTCTTGTGAGTTTTATGATGCTGTGAGTCTTGTGCTGTGAGTCGTATGACGCTGTGAGTCTTGTGTTGCTGTGAATCTGAGGCTGTGTCTGATGCGGTGAGTCTTATTTTGTGAGTCTTATGATGCTGTGAGTCATATGATGTGAGTCTTATGATGCTGTGAGTCATATGATGTGAGTCTTATGCTGTGAGTCATGATGCAGTGACTCAGAATCAACCACGTACAATATTTCGTGTCCCTCTCCAGGTTCGTGACTACAGTGGGACGTACGTAGTTCACCTACTGACGTGTACAGCAACCACGGACCTGTTGTACACCTTACCTCTCGTCTGTGACCCCAGAGATCTCCTGACCTTTGACCTCCAGGTAAGAGAGTTCATGGTAGGTCACAGTACTCATTTCAATTGTAGTTCCTTTATATAATTGGTATTTATAAAGAATCTACGTTCGTTTATAATTATCCATAATATATAACAATTATTCCTATATAATTATCGGTTTAAAATAATAATTGTGAATATGTTTTAGGTTCGTTTCCAGCAGGTGTCCGATCCAGTTTCTGAGGAGTTTACACTGAACACAAGGTTCCAGATGATGAGACAACGCTCCCTCTGGCTCTCTCACTCTACCACAGACATACACACACACGCTGACGTCTCCTTCTACCCAGGTCACTAAACCAAACCTAACCTAACCTTTTGTTTAGTCAAGAGAAATTAGTACTTTAATTATTTGGTATATAAAATGCGGGTTTTTTATTATTATTATTATTATTATTGTAAAGATGGGTGTAACTATATGATTAAAAGACAGTATATCGTCCTGTCTGTCTGTCTGTCTAGCTAATTTTATCTCTCTTTCTTGACGTGGGACAGGTGACAGAATCTATGGACGGGTGATGGTGGACCCGGTACAGACGCTGGGAGACGGGTTCCATCTTACCCTGGACCAATGCTTCGTGTGTACGGGAGTGGACGGCTACATCCCTAAGTACACCCCTCACACGGACGAGTACGGCTGTGTGGCAGAGTCCTCCAGCCTCCTCTATAACTTCAAGATTATTGTTAGTATGACAGAACCTTAACTACCATTCAAGATTATTGTTAGTATGACAGAACCTTAACTACCATTCAAGATTATTGTTAGTATGACAGAACTTTAACTACCATTCAAGATTATTGTTAGTATGACAGAACCTTAACTACCATTCAAGATTATTGTTAGTATGACAGAACCTTAACTACCATTCAAGATTATTGTTAGTATGACAGAACTTTAACTACCATTCAAGATTATTGTTAGTATGACAGAACCTTAACTACCATGATTATTGTTAGTATAATTACATAGAGGAGACATTAACTGTTGGCATGATACACCTCTCTATAACTATCCATTTATAACATAACACTTCTATAACTTTAACATTAACAGTAATGAACTTTTAAACTATTGAAATTTTGTGTTAAATTATACTTTTGTCAGTTAAATTATTAGTGTTTGGTTGAGTATAGTTGTTAATGGTAGTTCTGGTGACGTCATCATTGTACAATACGTCTAGTAAGCATTAAACACTTTCTCTGGTGACGTCATCATTGTACAATACGTCTAGTAAGCATTAAACACTTTCTCTGGTGACGTCATCATTGTACAATACGTCGAGTAAGCATTAAACACACTTTCTCTGGTGACGTCATCATTGTACAATACGTCTAGTAAACATTAAACACACTTTCTCTGGTGACGTCATCATTGTACAATACGTCTAGTAAGCATTAAACACACTTTCTCTGGTGACGTCATCATTGTACAATACGTCTAGTAAGCATTAAACACACTTTCTCTGGTGACGTCATCATTGTACAATACGTCTAGTAAACATTAAACACACTTTCTCTGGTGCCTGATAGGACCGTGGATCGCCAGAGTCAGTTCGCCTGGCGTACGGGGACGTGGGATTCGAGGCTCACCTGGCAGAAGAGGATCCAGAGCCTGACGTAACGGCCCTCCTGAAGCAGCCAGGTGTTGATGGCTTCTACCTGGACTCATCACCTCTCTTCCTGGTGTGTGGGGCGGGAGGGGTATGGGGTGTGTGGGGGGGTGGGTGTGTGTGTGTGACGGGGTGTGTGGTGTGTGTGTGCGTGTGTGGTGTGTGTGTGTGTGGTGTGTGGGGTGTGGTGTGTGTGTGTGTGAGGGTGTGTATGTGTGTGTGTGGGGGTGTGTGTGTGTGTGTGCGTGGGGGTGTGGTGTGTGTGTGCGTGGGGGGTGTGGTGTGTGTGTGTGTGTATGTGTGTGTGGTGGGGGTGGGTGTGGTGTGTGTGTGTGTGTGTGTGTGGGTGTGGGTGTGTGTGGGGGTGTGTGCGTGTGTGTGGGGGTGGGTGTGTGTGTATGTGTATGTGTGTTGTAGCCTACCCTACTATAGTGAGTATAAAAACACGTGGTCTATTATTAACATTACTCTGGCAGGTGTCACACGGGCGGCAGTGGTTCGTTCACTGCATCTACACCGTGCGCCCTGAGGAGAACGCCGCGCGGGGCCTTGGCAAGAGGGACGTGTCTGGGCTGTCGTCGACCACCACCCACCACCACGTCCTCAGCACCACACCTCACGTTAATACAGGACAGGAACCTCTCTCATCAACTACAGACTACCAGACGCTGTTAAAACCTCATCACAACCACGGATCACATGCTCATAATGCCTCCGGAGCATTTGATGAGCGTAGATCACCACACGCCCCTAGAGGACCTAGAGCCATCAAGTCCCCATCAGGAAGAGACAGGCGGGTGAAGCGGTCGAGGGAGGACACAGCCGCCCTGGGTGACGAAGGAAGGGGTACCAACATGTACCGCCTCTCACTGCAGCTGGTATACAGAGACAACCAGGACCCCAGCCTCACAGACCAGGTTGGCTGCCCTTCCTTTTAATTAATTACCTTATATGTTTTAGAGGAATCATACCCGTGGGATCAAAGTCGCTGTGCGTGTGTGTGTGTGTGTGTGTGTGTGTGTGTGTGTGTGTGTGTGTGTGTGTGTGTGTGAAAAGTTAATGGTTTACTGGGGTGTATTATGGAGCCCCTTAGAGTAGGAAGATAGATGGAATGATAGATAAACACATAGATAGAATTCAATAATATCGTCATACACGTTCATATTGATTCAGCATATATATATATACATAGATAGTGCAGGTATACAATATACATACACAGTACAGGTATACAAACAATATACATAGACATTACAGGTATACAAACAATGATAAACAATAAAGCATCACTACTAAAAGATAATTTAACCATTGCACTATAACCTTTGACCTCGTAGGATATTTTAACCATGATTTTCACCCCCTGGCAGGACTCTGAGGCGACTTTCCTGACGCTGGTGGTGACTGCTACCTGTGTATTGGTCATGGTAACCTCGGTGGCTGCGGCAGTGTTCGTCAGGAGTCGTCGTCGTCTTCGTCAGGATAGTGGTGGTGGGGGAAAGATGATGGGCGCTCCGGGGTACATGGTCGTCTCAGGTGATTGCAATACCAAGGACGGGGTTATTGGCGGTCATGTGATTGAGACTCGTTATTATCACACGTATGAGGAGGAAAGTACGGAAGTGTGACGAAAGTACTGGAGTTTGAGGAAAGTACTGGAGTTTGAAGAAAGTTGTGGAAGTGTGAGGGAAGTAGTTCAGGATGAGGGATACAGTCGCAGTATACATAACAGTGGTGGCAGTATACATAACTGATGGCACAGTATACATAAGTGATGGCACAGTATACATAACAGTGATGGCACAGTATACATAACAGTGATGGCACAGTATACATAACAGTGATGGCACAGTATACATAACAGTGATGGCACAGTATACCCTCACCCTGCAGTAAAATGTATGCTCTGTATAAATTATAATGTATATGTGTAATAATGTTCAGTTGTTTTTCTGTATTGACATAATGTTTTTTTTTCTTAATTGTAGTTAATACTGAAAATAAATAAGGCAATAAATTTTCTCATTATATTGATGATATGGTTCGGTGCGGTGGCTGAGTGGAGACAACAAACGCATCTCCTGTTCTAAGAGTCCCTGGTTCGTTTCCTTGCCCCCCCCCCACCGCCCCCGCCCCCCCCACACCGCCCCCGCCCCCACACCATCCCTCGGTCTACTCAACTGTAAATGGTTACCTAACTAGCCTAAAGTTAACCTAACTTAAACTAACCTAACCTTAAACTAACTTAAAATTAACCTAACCAAAACCAAATTTAAACCTAACCTATCCTAGTCTAGTCTACTGTAAACCTCACTTAACCTAATCAAACACCTGCACCTAACTTAACCTAACCTACACCTTCACCTAAATAAACCTACTCCTAACTTAAACTCGATTTAACCTACCTAAAACCTAACTTAACGTAAACCGAACATAACAAGTCTAAACCAACCTAAATCCAACCTTATCTAACTTTACCTAAACTTAACCTAAACTAAACCTACTAATCATAGGAAATATTTATGCCCGCCATCCTGTTCTTGGTACTTTGGTATATATCGTCCACCTAACCTGATAGGCTATCCTGTGTGCCCTTCCTCTGTGAAATAGTTCATAAATACTGTACAGGGTTTCCAAAGTTTACAGATATTTCAAACAGATCACAGTCATTATGGGTGTTTCATTTGGTATAGGGATGCTTATCATTCGGGTACATTAGGGTAGACAAAAAAAAACTCAAACTAAGCACAGAAACATAAATGATGTGTTAATAGTGCTAGTGTCAACCCTGTACTGTATAAAATTATTAATTATCTCGGGGAAAGGTGTATTGCATTCAAATATACAAATGATGGATTAAACAGCTACAAAAATTATAAATGAACAACTGATGTGCATAAGTGTTAAATAAAAGATGGATTATTTGGTTTGTAATATAAATATTTTGTTCCTTAAAATATTATAACGTTGACATCTAACTTTTGTAAAAAAATTTCGTAAAACAATGACTGAGATTTTCTGTTGTTTTTCCTTTACCTCTATACACCTAGTTTATAAAAATGGGTAAAGGTGATTAATTATTCCCTAGTTAAATCAACATTAAACAAAAATAAAGATAGGAAATATAAGAAACTTCGCTTTTAATGATGCCAGAACTCATTTGTGGTGGTAGGTATTTCTTCTACTTTCAAGCTTTCTTTATTCAACGGACTGTTTTATCTGCTTTTCTTCACTCTTATCTACTTTATCTATCCCCGGTTTTAATGGGTTATAACCTAACGTACTGTACTTCCGTATTATTAGGATTGGGGCCCATTCCTAACAGGCCTCAGTCATCACGGGCCCTAATCCTAGACTGAGGCTCATTAAGAATAGGGCCAAGGGAGTACAATGCTCGAGGCTCCTATACTGCCCTAAATGGACCACCAAGCATAAGAAGCCTACTTTCTCGTTATTAAACCGAGTGGGAGGGAGGGGAGAGATATATAACATATTATCACAGACTAAAATATACAAGACTAACTATAAACCATCTGAAAAATAAGAAGAGTTAGTGATAAATGGAGGATTGGTAAAAACAGCCAATCCTCAGATAAGATGGCACTGATTAGTGCCATCTGAGTAGCTCTGTGTATTAAAATTAATTCTCTAGTTATAACAAATATACAAAGGAATAAACATAGAACGTAGTAATAGCGACAAGAATTTATATTAGAGGTCATATAAAGAACATTGATCGTCTATTGGTTAAGAGACAAATGATTCCAGTGTTTAAAATAATCACCTCTTGAAGACATAAATTCCCAATTATAACAAATATACCCGGTAATAACAGATGTAGGGTGTATTAAGAGTGAGGAAAATAGTACTAAAAGTCTATACAGTTTATAAGTACTACATTAATCCTCCATTAGTTGTCAGTCATGCATTAGTTTAAAATGAATAGAGCATTTATAAAGAAAAATCACCTCTTAAGAACACAATACTCTAGGCATAACAAATACACCTGGTTAATAACAAATATAAAGTATAGAATAAGTAAGAAAAAAACAGTATTTGAGGCTATATAATGAACATTGATCGTGGTATAGTGTGGAGGTGAGCCACTGGAGGAGCTCTTGTCTCTGTTGTCAGTGTACCGCCACCAGCTGAGAGGGTAACTACCATCACTTACTTATACTTCATTAACTCTTACTATTACTTATCCTGCTAGGTGTTAACTGTCTCTTAGGGTTGTAAATGAGGGTGTGTCCTTGTGCTGTTGAGGTGTACATGTGGTAGTAAATTGTAGATATTTGTTTTCCTGGTTTGTTATAATGGTGGACGGCTTTGACTGGATGAACACCTAAATTGTTGCATCATGAAGGCTCTCGACCACACACACACCCCCCTCCCCCCCTGGACCTTACTGCTATACTTAACACTATTAAAAACTGATGTGTTCATGTGTCACTCCTCACATTGAAAGGAAGGAACACGAGAATGTAATCCCATGTATTAGGTTGATACTTGTAATTGTCATTTGCTGTGAGGATATTGTTGATAAAAGATGGATTTCAGTATTTTTATCTCGTATTGTTATATATGTAACCCAATACTACACATGACATATAACCAATTTGACATTATCATAGGATACATAATATTAATGTTGTGAGAGCAGGGTAACTGGCTATGCAAACTTTTCTTGTTAAGTAACTTAGGTTTTACTCTCTAATGAATCCAACTCATCCCTATAATAGAAAATATAAGCATATAACATTACAGTGATAATGTGCGGATCTCTCGCCAGTATGTCAAGGGTTCGAGGCTCAGCCCGGACACACTTGAGAATGGTGTTATCCAGTGTGACCCTCACTACCAAACACCACAGGTTTACTGGTCCTTGGTCTTCTCCTGTACTAATACTGGTTAATCCAAGTGACTAATAAGCTGATAAGTGGCGAAAATGATAAAAAATGCAACTACAGACAATCCTCAGTTCATGAGGATTGTATACAGTATATGGAAAACAAAATTGTTCCGTGCTTTGACTTACAAACAAAAAAAACCCTGAATATACAAAAAAAACATATCATTAGCAACAATAAAATATGCTCAAATAATATTTTTTTTACTAACAATAGTCTTGTTTATTTTACCAACTTATTTCATTATTCTCTAATGCTCACAATGCTATTAAGTTTACAAATAAGCATTCAGTGTGTCATTATTTTCCTTCAACCACCATAGACTTACTCCTCACTCACATGAAGACAGTAGACTAGTCACACACACAGTCACTGAGCTACCTTACCGTAGTTGTTTGATCGTCCAATTTCTTTTCATTTACTCTCATATACTGTAACATGAAAAATTAAATAAAAGAAAATTATTCTCTACATGTACAGTATTCGTAAATTTCACATGCTAATTCTGTACAATAAAGCTGTATAGTGTTAAGAAAAAATGTGGAACTTGGAAGTGAAGAATTGTTTAGAGGTGCGGTGAATGTCTAACACACAAGGGGGAGCGACTTGAGCTGATTCTCTGGCTGGTGACTTTTACCTATTAATTCTCCTTCATAACCAGCCACAACTGCCTCCCATCCAGTCATGACCATACATTATCACTCATACAGTACTGTATACTCAAATCAACATAAACTTTCTACTTCCATTTTAAGTCTCCTGCCCCACCACTACACACCCTGACCTAGATGTTCTGTGATTCAGGGTAATACTTGAGGAAGGAAGTGATAATTCAGTCTGAAATTATATTGATAAGTAGGTCGTGCACCTTGGATATTTCTACTTGTTACTCATGCCACTTTCTGTTGTTGTCTACACTTGTCTTAAACTTCTTTCACTTTTGTTGTTCTTCCCAACACATGGTGGGAGAGGAGTAAAGAAAGTAAATAGCGTTGAAGAAGGCATTTAAGAAATAAAAAAAATTGCTGAAACACATGAATGTGTAGAAGAGGTGTGAGACATTCTCTGAGCGACAGCAGGATGTGATAAGGCTGAGATAAGCACAGCTAGACTACATCTTCTTATTAGCTATCCTAGGACCAGAAGGTAGCATATTTGTGCTCATGTTGAAGGTGTACTCTATATCATTAATGAGGCTTTCTGTGTATTGTGGTTGTTTGTATATGCAAGTGAGGATTTTTATTTTGTTCAGGAAGCTCTAGGTTCTGATGGACAATATGTACAGTATTAGATATGTTTTTTAATTGTGTACAAGTATTAGGTTGGTGTACAACCATCTGCCAGAAGTGGGTTGGATTATTTCTACAGCTCTTATTACTCTAAGAATTTCTATGAATTTATCAATTTACCTACATCTAAACTTTAGTTAAAGTAGATGTACAGTACACTAATGTAAAGGAGAGAGTACATAGTTAAACATTACAGGACTGGTACATGAACTGAATTACACTAGTTATAAGTCTTAATGAAATGCAGATTATTTTCTCACTAAATCAGTAATTACAGATATAAAAAAACAAGTTTAATTTTATTTTTTTTACCATTAGAGTTAGTTTTAAGATTGTTATGACGGTTACCTTGTAAGTCAGCCTAAATATGACATTGTAAGAATATTAATAACCAATAACATTACCTTGTGTCCAGAAAACAGAGGTACAGTACAAAGTTCAAAAGACATATTCGACTTACGACATCCCGGACGTACGACCGCCTTTGTCGTATAAAATATTATTCACATTACGTATTTTCGAGTCCAGACGTTAGTGATTGTGCTGTGTACTGACAAAATTTTCTTTTGTAATTCCCTTTAAAATGGCTGGCAAGCGTAGAAGTGAGAGTTCTCGTGGTGCTGAGAAGAAAAAGAGACACCCATTTTAGAATTTCTATTTATTATTTTCGCCTTTTCGACTTACGACCAATTGGACAGAACCCCGTTGTAAGTCGAGGAGAGACTGTAATATATATATATATATATATATATATATATATATATATATATATATATATATATATATATATATATATATATATATATATATATATATATATATATATATATATATATATATATATATTGTATAACAATTGGTTTGAGAGAACCATGCCTTAAGATATTACAGTACAGATATACAGTAGTACAGTATTTCAGCTGGCAGTTAATGTTATATAAAAAATTGATTTATTATAAAACTGTACCTCAAAGAAGTACAGTACTGTACAGTACATTGTATATTTTCATGTCAACAGTGTGCTTCACTTGGTACAGTATAAGCACCTGGACTTTTCAGCATGGTTCTGTCACTCACAATATTCCGGAAAACCTGCCACCATGTCTGTAGGTACCACCCCCTTGGAGGGCCCTGCGGCAGCCTCTGCCTTCTATGTCCCCTTTTTTGAACGGACAGGTGTCTCAGGAGCCTGAGGGTCATTTGTAGCTCTGGAGAATTTAACTTTTTTCTCTACCTGTTAAATTATTTTGAGTGGAATCTTCCCATTAATTGGCTAAGCATTTGCACCTAGAGTTACTGCACTGTACATTAGAATCTGTAGGGGCCTTCTTTGAGCTATGTATGGATTGATATATAGTATAGTATTGTGATGTTAAACAGTAGTGTTATTTGTTTAATGAAAGTTTACTCTCATACATAACACTGGACTTTGAAATTACTGTATTTTAATAGGTAGTAAAGTGAAGTTTTGTACAGTACATTATTACGTATGTTAATCCAGTACTGTACAGTACCGGTAAACTTATGTGAAAATTTCATTCTTAAAAATGCTTTATCCAGAATGGCTTTTGTATCCATTGGTAACAATATTTGATGTATGAATTGTTTTGATGAGGCACGTGAACTGTAGTACTGTTCATACAATCATTTAATACAGCACTCCTTCCTTGGCTAGCTGAACAGTGGGCAGGGGATTCTGGTAGTTTAAAAATAAAATTACATAAATTGCAATTTTGGATATGAAATAGCACACACACACACACACACACACACACACAGTACATACATACCGTGCATACACACACACACAAACAATTATTTTTGTACCAGTTAGAGTGGTAACGATGCTTCTTGTCATTAGTCGAATCTTGACGCCTTGAAGCAGATATTGTAGAGAGACATATATAATATTCCTGCTCCTGTTTGTAGTCTTAGCTGAATGAAGAGTACGGTACTGTACAGTATAGTATTTTATGGCATAATAGACACAGTACGTATAGTCACGTGTACAATAAAACAGTAAGGTACAGTACAGTAGAAACAGTATTAGGATATCACTTATCATTTGTTACATAAAGAAGTTTGATATGAATGTTTATCTGATTAAAAATTAGGTATTGGTTTTGTTTCTGTCACAACTAAAAATGTGTGTATCAATTAAAATGTCTAAAGTAAATTAATGGCGTAAATTACACAGTATTATGCATACCTAGAAATAACCTTAGTATATAGAGTGATGAACAACATTACTACAGTATTTACGGTGTGATAATTTTGCTCTTTGTCTCAACAGATGTCAAATATTACAAGCCCTCAGCGATTCTCAGGGACGTTTGACCACTTCTACGGTGGCCACTATGAGCCAGACATTAGTACCCAGATGAAGGTGCCCAAAAGAATACGAGTCACAGGTGAGAGATGTCCACTGTTTTTAATGTACCGGTAACCTAACCTACCTTACATAGCCAAACCTAACCTAATGTAACAACCTAACCTAGCCAAACCTAATCTAACCTTACCTAGTTCAACCTTGCCTTGTCAAACCTAACCTAACCTAACCTTAGCCTACTTAACCTTGCCTTGTCAAACCTAACCTTAGCCTACTTAACCTTGCCTTGTCAAACCTAACCTAACCTTAGCCTGCTTAACCTTGCCAAGTCAAACCTAACTTAACCTTGCCAAAATGCAACTTAACCATACCCATCCTAATGTATCCTTGCTTGACCTTGCCTAATATAATCATGTCTAGCCTTACCAAAGCTTGTCTAGCCTTACCAAAGCTTGTCTAGCCTTACCAAAGCTTGTCTAACCAAATCTTACCCTGTATAAATGTTTGACAAAGAGGCTGCATTAAACATATTTTGTTGTGATATTAACATTAAGATATTTTTTGGTTAGGAGGAGTTGAAGACTTTTTCTTTATCTGTTGAATAATCAGAAATGAAAATCGATATGGAGTCGCTTTCTTTTTTACTTGATACAAAACAAGTCACGGCAGAACTCTCCTGGTTTAAATTAGCCAAACCTAACTACAGTAAAGGTCCAAAAATCCGGATGACAGAAATCCGGACCACCCGAGAATCCGGACTTTTCGAAAACTCACTTTTTTTTTTTTTTTTAAGCTGGCTTTTGTGTGTATGTGCGCATGCAAGCGCTCCACGGCTGCTCAGCGATAACAAGCAACCACACGGTCGCCACTTTAAAATGAGCAATCAAACTGTGACAACGTACTGTCTGTAATTTTGAGTCCTACTCTTTCCATTTACAGAGTACTGTACAAGCCCATAATAATGGCTCCTAAAGTAGATAAACTTCGTTGTGTGAAGGGAAAGAAGAACACATTGAAATTGAGTGACAAACTTGAAATAATTAAGAAACTAGAACGTGGTGTGAGCAATACTGTTCTAATGGAAACATACGACATTGGAAAGTCTACAATTTATGATATAAAAAAGGCAAAGAATAAAATTCTAGAATTCACAGCTTTTTCTTTAAAACTGCTCGTTTTGATAAATGAAGCATGCTATATTTGCTAATGAATAAACTATCAAAATGTACATGTTCATCTCTTCTTTATTCCTCCTTAAATTTGAATTTTAGAAGTACTGCCTGAGAATCCAGAAAATCCGGAAATCCGGACCGACCCAATCCCCAAGCAGTCCGGATTTTTGGACATTCTACTGTATAACTGTCTCATGTGTGCTTTATTGGGTGTAAAATATGAGCAGTTTGACATAAATTGTGTGCCTGAGTCATAATAGTTGTAAAACCTATAAATAATGCCTCTGTGCATGTTCCCAAGAATAGGCTGGCAAAAATGAATTCACGAGGCAGTAAAGGTCCGTTTAACGAGAGATATACATTCCTGAAAAGTTCTCATTGGGTGACCTCTTTCATTCAACTGGTTCCATTTTCCCATAGGATCTAATGTTAAGAGCTGAGATGCGTTTCAGGTTAGGTTCAGGTTATAAAAATAGTATCTTTATTAGCACTATGGTGTTTTGAACTTTATATTTTCCCTTTCCTCTTTTTTCAGAATACCAGTTTTAATTTTTTTCTCTATTATTAACCTCTTCTATTCCTCAGGTGATAATGAAGATGATCCGACTGTCAATTGGGCTCGGTACAACGGCATTAACGATAAGTTTGAAATGAAGGTTCCGGACCGCATTGTTGTGGCAGGTATGATGTCGGTCCCAGAGAGGATAATATTGGCAGGTAAAACTGTTGTCATATGTCTTGACAGAGATGTTGACAGTGGAGGACACTTTCTCTGTAGTTATGTCGAAGCAGATGAACAAGATGGGGTGGTTCACGGTGTACAGCTTGTGCTTGTTACGTGGTGTTTGGAGGGACGTATCCATTTAGGCCTAACTCACTCTCTCTCTCTCTCTCATTTACTATTTCTCTTTCATCCTCACTTCCCTCTTTCATCCTCACTTCCCTCTCTCCTCCTCACTTCCCTCTTTCATCCTCACTTCCCTCTCTCCTCCTCACTTCCCTCTCTCCTCTCTCTGTATATCTAGCTTCTCTCGTTCAACATGCCTGCGTGTTGTGTGGAAGAGTATATCTCCTACTGCTGTGTCGTGTTTATCAAATTTTTACCTTTTATGTGTATTTATTTATTTTTTTCCGGTAATACTCGGACGTTTCAACCAACTCATTTTATAACTGGAATGACCATAACATCTGTACACGGTGAGAGATGTTTATATAACTCCTATTTGTCCCTCCTCCTGTGTCTCAACTACCTGACTCTATGCTCTCCTTTGCCTTTTCTTGTATTTTCTCAAAAGGGATCATTTATATTTTGCTGAAGATTCTTGTCCATCTGAATTAATGTAAAGTTTAAATTCTGAAGCACCTGTACTGTATCAACACAATAAGAGATGCGTAAATGTTTGGGGAATATTTTAGAAATTGAGAGATTATTTGTAGTGTTCATAACTGTACTTTTTCTTCTTGTTGGAGGAGGGGAAAGATATTTAAAGAAGCTGTATGTAGATCAGTCATTAGTTAATATTAACTCCCAAGTGGGATTCACATAAACACGAAACCTGGAGAAAGTGTCATTCACTGTTGGTGCAATATAGCACGTGTTGAGGGGCTTATCATCGCACTGTGGAGGTTTGTGGTTGGTTTTGGAGCTGCTTCCTTATCTTGACATTTGGTAATGTTTTCTGCACTGTGTGAAATGTACAGTTAGTGTGGTGAGTATACTCTGTAGTCCTGTATGTATATTTTACTTTACCAGATGAATACACCCCATCCCTTAACTGAGGAGGGTTATGTTTCACAGTAGCTCAGTTACAACAAATTTGTTTAGAGTGAACCTAGTTTTTATTGTAAAGGAGCATATCCAAACCCCTCCTCCATACCCAAAATTCTCACTAAGGGACTTGATAAAAACAAGGAAATTTACTGTAGTGCATTTAAGGAATATAAAATTACTTACTAGTTCATATACTACAGGAGGAATAAAGGTACCAATTGATTACAAGCTTCAGTTACACTAACTTAGGAGGTGATGGTGAAGCACAACAGGTTGGTGGGAGGAGAGGGTGTAGGATCATATGAGTTGTTGTGAGGTTGTGGCAGCATTACATCAAGTGGGGGTAAGAGCTGCTCCTCTGGGCTACAAGGGGCATTGATGAACACCAGTGGGCTCTGGTGCAGCAAGCAACAGTGAGGGAGTTGTCCACTGTGGTGGAGGTGCTGGGTCCGCATGGTGTTGGTGAGTAGACCTTGAAAAACTGAGTTACGGTGAATGCCATACTATGTGCTGTTTCTCTGTAGATGACCATGTAGTTAGTCAAGACGGAAGAAAGAGCCGTCGTCCCAAACTGTAAACTTTGCTCCGGTTTGGACCCATATCCACCAACTGAGAGGAACAAAGTTCTTTGAATCTTTTTCTTTACAAACTTAAAATCTCTAACTCCAAACTAAATAATAGCAAGTCATGATTTTTTTTTTTAATTTCATAATTTGCCAACTACATCATAATGAAACTACATGAAGTGAATCAATGTTAAATGAAGGATGAATGCCTATAATATACAATACTATACAGTACGGAATCAAAATGGATGTTCACCAGCCTTAGGGACCACCTGGGAAGCTGTACTAAGGTTCATGTGCCGGTTTATTTGAATCATTAGAGATGCAAAAGTGAGAGGAGTGTTTCAACCACTCAGTGACCTCTTCCAAATTCAGCACATGTACAGTAGCCAAAAAAGTATCTGACAGGGTGGGTCCGATGACATCCGAAATTATATGTTTACAACTCGTGATGTCCCGAGAGGGTTGGTATGCGTGTCTTCACCCACCGCCATTCAGTATCCACCACGGGGGGTGAGTTGGCATATAGGAATAAAATAAATGGTTAAGTGATTACAATAACATAGTATAAGGAGACAACACACGTCCCAATACCTATTGTTTGTGGTTTCATATTGTTTCACACAGAGTTTGCACAGATAATTTTTTTAGCTACTGTATACCCTCCCCTCTTGTGAGTCTGAGACACCCACAGTAATCTACTTTTTAAGAAACTAGATATATTCTTTTGTGTGTGTGTGTGTGTAAGAGAAACAGAGGAAGTACACTGTTTTAGTTTCAGCATCTCTGTTAGAATTACTGTGTGATGTAGGTTATTTGTGTGTGAGAAATACTTGTTATTGTTGTACCGTTGTATCTGTCATCCTTGTTTATTTGACATGTTCTCGGTCCTAGTTAATGTGGGTGTGGTGGTGTCAGCGGTTATGACACAACTATTTATTGTAGATGGTGAGACTGCTCTCCTGTCCCTCTTTCATTCTTCTGGCTGCTTCAATGAAACATTGTTTGAATTTCAAGTCTTACTTTCTTTCACGGTTGATCTCATAATTAGTGTGCTTCTTATGCCTCCAACCTTATAAGTACTTGAGTACTTTGTACACATCTACATTGTTTACTGTGTACAGGAAAACCCATTACTGTACACGAATTCACTTATGGACACTCAAGTTTACACCAAATCCTAAATCCCAACTTAAGTTTACCAGCCATACAAACTCTCTAACAAATTAGGATCACTATGAAGTACAGGACAGGTTAAACACAATATGCAAAAGGCTGTATAACAGTAGTGTTTTCTTAACCAGAATGGCAAATAATTTAGATTAATATTAATGTAGTACGTATTGTGAAATGTTGGCAACAGGTGGGGAGCAGCACATAGGGACCCGAGGAGTACCCAGGGAAGTGGAACTTGAACAGTCTATCATGCCTCAGCCAGACCCAGCACTATACAGAGTACAGGTTGGTTATGTCCTCTTAGTACAGTATTTACATAAAGCTTATTGATACCATATGTATTTAGTATTGGAGAGAATGTTATCTATGTTAAGATTTTATACATATTATAATAGGAAATAGAGGTAAGAGAAGTTACTTTATCACAGGAGAAAAAAATCTGTGTACCTGTTGACGATGTAGTCTGGAGGTTGAATGAGAGATTATACAGCCAGGCCAAAAGAACAAACTCTGAGAAAATGGTAAATTATTGGATGCTGTCTTCTGATTCAAGTTGTTTTCTACATGTGACTCTTTTCCAAGTCCTTTCTTATATATCATTTGTTTTCACTTCTTTAGGCAATGTTCCTTCAACCCTACACTTGTTTCTTGTATGGTAAATTATAATTGGTTTTATAGTGTGTGTGTCATCCCACAGACGCCACCACGAACAATTACATTGGATACCTACCAGTACCCCGGCATGGAAGATGTGTCTCCAGTAGCAGAGGACAGGGAGAGCAGTACCCCAGGGTCAGCTCCGACCATCCTCCCACGCAACAGTAACTCTTTTATACATCCTGTGTAAGTATTTTGTCAGAGTACATTGGTGCAAGAAAGAAAAACTGATGGTGATATATTTAGATAGAAGTTTATGGAAGAGACAGTGATTTGTTAAGACAAAGTGGAAAAATGAAAAGATTGTGTTTGAATGATAATTGTTTTTCTTTTTTTATTATTCTAAGCCTTTAAATAAAATTGAAAGTCTACTTGGATGGTGTTACATTAAATTGAGGGATTTGGAAAAATTTGGGGAAACTGATTTTATGGTGCTGAGTATTTCTGTGAAGACAATTACTGTATTGGTGTAAATTGTGAATACAGTAATGTGTACAGTATCAAAGATGTTGGAGCCTGGTAGTAATGACCTTGTTCATCCATAATGTGTTGCAACTAGTGGTGCTTGTTAGGGATCTCACCTCTCTGCCCTTGCATGTTTCAGAGTATTTTTTGCCCCATTTGTATAGTATCCATCACAGTGCATGTTTTACTAGTCTTATTTAAAATAGTAAAGGATAATTGACTACACTAGATTAGGTTAGGATGTACAGTGTTGAACATCTCAGAATTTGAAACCAAGGATGAACAAACTGTTGACTTGAGTTTTAATGACATTCCACTTGTTCACAGGATAATGTTCCCCGATGTAGCACACTTTAGTAGGGCTCAAAGGCCTGTGGATTATAAATGTGTTATTTATGCTTCATACCTAAAGTTGAAACTATATCATTATGTTCATTATTAAACACAACCAAGTGACCAGCTTAGGTACAGTCACCCACAAAATACAAAAGAAATGTTGATACCAAAATAATCCTGAATAGTTTATCTAAAAGTTTAGCTAAATATATATACGTACAGTATATTTTTAAAAATCTATATGGTACAGGCGTGCAGGACGTGAATGAAGCTGTTTGTCACAACTAAGACAGTGGAATTTTCCATCCTGCACTGGAGAGAGTTTTCCCTGAGTCTAAACAACGCATCTTGCACGGAGCTGTATTTATTTATGGAAACGCCTCTGTTCGCATACAATATTTTGTAAATAAACAAATTAATATACTGTACAGTATATGTATACAGGTGCTCCTCTACTTAAGAACGTTCAACTTACAAACTTTCAGAGATACAAACATCATCACTGAGGGGGTTACCTGCCAGAACAGGTGTTTAATGTGGATGAGACTGGATTATTTTGAAGAAAATTCCAGCTAGAACAAACATTACCCAAGAGGAGAAGAGTGAGCCAGATTTTAAGGCTGTATTAAAGGGTATAGCTGTACTAAATATCCATAATCTTTTCATTTCTTACAATATGTTTGGTATCTGCGAGAGTAAAGTTGGACTTACAAACAAGCCTCAGGAACTTAACTCGTTTGTAAGTAGAGGAGCACCTGAACTATAGCTTACTAACTCGCAGATGATGTTGTTTTTAGCTTGCAGTAGGCACACAGTACACTCTGCTGAAAGTAATACGTAACTGTAATCACTTTTTACGTCTTAACACTTACAATGCAGTGTTGCATTTCTTTACTGTATCAGTACACACAGTACAGTATACCTTGTACTGTACTGTGTGTAATGTGTGTCAGTGTTTGAATTTAAATGAATTTTTTGAAGGTTTTGTAAAATTCAATCTTCTCTCTGCTTATGTTTGTAACTCACCTTCTCATATTATTTTGCAGGGAAGATCTGGATCTTGGGTATGTTGTCTGTTGCACGTTACATCCTTCACTTAGCTTCACCAGTACACCTGTACCTGTCTCACCAGTACACCTGTACCTGTCTCACCAGTACACCTTACCTGTCTCACCAGTACACCTTACCTGTCTCACCAGTACACCTTACCTGTCTCACCAGTACACCTTACCTGTCTCACCAGTACACCTTACCTGTCTCACCAGTACACCTGTACCTGTCTCACCAGTACATCTTACCTGTACCTGTCTCACCAGTATACCTTACCTGTACCTGTCTCACCAGTACACCTTACTTTTCCCTCAGTAACTGTTGCACTAACTGCTTATAATATGCCAAACTTCTTTCATTGCTTCTTTGTTATGTTTGACGGCTGTTGACGACATCCCGCCTTGAGTGCTCTTGGCAAAAGGGAGATTTTTTCTGTGCTGGAGATGTTTCCTTTAGATATTTGACCTTTTAATATTATTTATAAATGGGGTTTTTAAGTTATTTATGGTAGATATTCCATCAATTTAAGATGATTCTACAGACCTTTGCACACACTTATTATACATACTGGGAACCTCACACCTTGTTGTATTGCTGTTGCCTCGGTAAGCTTTCACCTGACACCCGTGTAATTAGATCCTCCAGAGGTACAAGCTAGCCTTCTACTTTTAAGCAACCATGCACCACATTCCTTACTGTTACCCCTGTACTGTGTGGGATTATATGCTACAGCGCTTATGTCAGGGATAAACATAACCCATATTACTTAAGACGGCTGTTATAACAATTATCAAATATCCCAATGCAAGGTCCTCTCTCTCACTCTCCTTTTTCCACTCTCCCTTTTTTTAGGCTAAGTTGTATTTTATCCACTTTGACACATTTTAAAGGCTTTTATACATATATGTCAGAGTGACGAAGAGTTTGACAGTGATTTCTTAAAATACAGTACACCTCACTACTGCAGGGAAGGGTGGTGGCCATAATGTAAAGAGCTCCATGATGCCCCCTCACTATTTATCTGTTGAGCCATCTGTTGTTCCCCTTTACCCTCCCCCTGTTGTCTCCTTAATAGATTGTTACAACTGTTCCTCCCACAACATAAGTGGTTGATCTCCTTCCCACAACATAAGTGGTTGATCTTCCTCCACCAACTCAACCTGCTAGTCTACTTCAATGAATAAAATAATTACTGTCAGGAGGGTAGATTTTGAAGCTCACATATTCTTTAGTTATTTTTTTAAGGCTGTCAAAGAATTACAATGCATTTGGCTCTAGGAAAAAAAAATTGTTCCTGTACAATGTCTCAGTAAAGTATCTGTCCACAATCTGTGTGATACATAATGAGAACACAGATGATAGGTATTGGGATTTGTATTTACTTTGGGATATAGTTTAATATAAGTAATGAAGTGTGTATTTATTTTGGCCTAATTAATATGTAGTAGGATCAGTATGCCACAGAGCCACGCATACCTACCCTCCCGGGACATCACGAGTTGCATGTAGCATTTCGGAAGTCATCGGACCCACCCTGGCAGATACTTTATTGAGATACTGTACCTGAACTTGAAGGGGTTGTGTCAGAGAGGTGCTGATGTTGAACATTTGTATAGTACGGGCATCAAAATCATTAGTACAGTAAGACTGCCTGTTGTGGACTTGTGTTGATTTACATCCAAATGCACGTAATTGATATTCATGCTGCATCAGGCACAACATTGATATTATGATGTAGTCTTAAGCATGTTGAACTTTTCCTGTTGATTTTTTTTTCTCTAGATTTTGTCATTTGTTTCTACAGTACTTTATAGTTTTCTAAATTATAAATAGGTTCTTCAGGCTTACTGAGAAATACTAGTTGCTTTCTTCATTAGATATTGTTGGTAAGCCATGGATCTTTATGTAACACAATGAAGGAACATGTACAAAAAACATTATTTTAGTAATTTTTTTTTCAAAATAGATAGACTGAATTTTAACATCTGCTTTACAGGCATGACAATGGTACTCCAGGGATTACAACAGACCTGAGCCCAAGTGAAGAGGTCTCTCTTCTCAGACGACAAGTTGGCCGCCTCAATCGCCGTGTAATGTCTCTGGAATTGGACACACAGCAACGTGCTAACCGAGAAATGATCATGTATACCCTTGGTGTTGCTTACTTCATCATTAAGACTTTGTTGTGGATGAACAGAAACTGAATGGACAGCAGGAAGTTTGGAATGAAAACAAAAGATTTTGAGGAAATCTTGACATGGTGTTACTCGGTGTGGAGAGTTTGCCGATTCCTTTTGGACGAGCCTCAGACTCCTGATACTGTACTGGTATATCTGAGTACAATGGCAGGAAACCACTACAACTTCTTCACTAGTCAGAAACACTTTTACTTTGGGGATATATAAGAATATTGCTGCCTGCCAGTTAACACTATTGTAAATGGCCAAAGAGCTTATTTGTAAGAAGATCAGCATTGTATTTGTAGTACTATACTTGCACATCTCAAGCTGTTGTTAAGAACAAATTGGATTAAACATAGATTTAAATTGCAGATGTCACAAAATGCCACTTAAGAAATTTTTCAAGATCTTCATTTATTAAAAAGTATTTCGGTAAGGTAGGAGCAAGCTTCATGATGCCTAATGCTTGAAGATTAACCTTAGCAAATGCAGTATAAAAAGTTGCAGGAGTAGCAAGAGTATATACTATGAAGGTGTTGAAGGCTGTGCTCAAACACTCCCACTCCATACAAGTTTTCTTCTGCAGATCAAAATCCTCATTTTAATACATTGTTTGGCAGTGTATTAATGTAGGAGGTTCCTTTAACACCTGACAATATCCAGCATTGCCTTGTAGGTCATATATGTGATTGGTTTGTAACTGTTGAGTGTTGCTTTGTGGTATAAACTGTGTCAGAGTAACAACATGAAAAATACTCCATAATACAAGGAAAACTATGGATCAATAAATGTTAAATCCCAGTCCCACTTACCTACATGACCCTCAAGTAGATGATGACAGGTATTGGCAAAACTGTCCTTGGAATTTTGTCTACAACTACTGTACCGTGGTTATGGTGTGCAGTAGAGAAGAGGCTATGAAGCCTTTACTGAAAAACATATGTATATATAATTTACTAAGAAGGATAAGTAAATACAGGTATATTCAATCTACTACAAAATTTATATGTCCATTTTATTGTTTAGTCATTGATTTTGGAAGAGTTAATGTTAAGTTAATGTGTGTGTCAAGAGCAGTGGCTTTGGGTAGTTACTGTTTAGCTATATTTATTTAATGGGATCATTCACCTTGAGGTTCACCATATAACGATGACAGTTGTTGCTGCACTTGTACATTACACACTCCCACTGGTGTAATCTTCCCTCATCTTTGGGACCAATATTGGCATCAGATTTAATGATTTTGATGGTTACTGAACTTCACTCATTTTTATTACTGGATGGTGCCATTATTACACCTGAAACATCCATTTTCTGGGGACACAATGTTTGTATTTGTTATTGATAAAATTGCAGTGCTTGAATCAGATAAACGCTTGGTCAGTAATATTAGTATTTTAAAGAATGAACACGAGTTACTATAGACGGTTGATTACAGACACTCGTCAAACAATTTTTAGTCCTGGCATTTTCAACAATGTGATATTTTATTTAATGTTTATTTGATAATAATTTGAAAATATAATAAACATTAATGTATTTAAAATGAGGCTTATGTTACCCTGATGGCCGGACACGAGGGAACCCACAGCATGGAAGGAGGTCAGAACTATTACGAGTACTGTAGTTTGATTCTTGTCAGTCTAACCAACCTACCACTGCCTCTCAGTTCTTCATACAAACCAAATTCTGTTAACATAATTACACAAGATAATATGTAACAACTTCTACTACACTTGGCTGTTTACAGGACTGTGAGGCAACTGTATGTATTTTATATCTCATAAAGCCCTTGATTCTATCCCATTAGCAAATATTGGCCTTAGGAGCAAGACCATTGTTTTCATGTGCCATAGTGTTAATGTATGGCATTATTATCTGGCAACTTTTGAGATTAAATGATTCAGTTCAGGAAGATCATTATTTCAATATTGATTACAGTAGTGTGTGTTTGTGATAGTCATTTGGTTTCTATTTATTTTTCTCTAGATGTCTATTATATAACCATAGGTTGAGTCTCTTAGCCTATACTGTGGAGTCATAAATAAATAAAATTATATTATCTGTTTAGTAAAGTATGGAAGAGGATGGCCTGGGCACACACTCCTACTGACACCTCTACACATCTGTCAAGGCTCACAGTCTCCAACTTTTGTGTGTTAACTTTCTACCTTAACTAAGACATAAAGAGGTTCTGTAAATATAAAGTCTTGCCAATATGGTGTCAATATTAAATAGTTGTAGTACATTTTCTTCAGACTTGGAGGAGAAACTTAACATACAAATTTGGGGGAATTTATGGCCAGATATATGATTCTTTACCCTGATGTAGCACCCATATCCTCACCTCCCTTCTGTGACCTTCCTGTTGTTGGTGATTCACTTTTGACATTAATAATTTAATAGAATCAATGTCAATACTGAGGATATATTTTCCTCTAAAGTAAATATGAGTAAAGTATCTGTACAGTATTCTATACTCATGTTGAAGGCCATCTAAGATACGCCATTCTCAAAGTTTTAAGGAAGGAATATGTCATTACAGGAGGTATTTTCTGTATGCAGGTATTAATTTTTATGAAAAACATTTTATGCAAATTACTGATTTATAAAATATAAGGTAATGATTGCATAATTTTAAAAACTATGTGAATGTTCCATGTCTTATATGACATCTATTCCCCTGTTTTAAAAGATGCCCTTCTTACAACCTTACCTCTTCTCCATGAGTGATGTACATTGTAAACAAGTGATACTTACTGCCAGTAATAAGAACATAAGAATGGAGGAAACTGCAGCGGGCCTATTGACCCATATTGGGCAGTCCCGTTTACACCCAACCCCTATCGCTCGTATACCCATCCAACCTTTGTTTGAAGCTATCCAGCGTATTCGAGTTAATGATGATGTTTGGTAACTTGTTCCACTCATCCACTACTCTATTTCCAAACCAATGTTTACCTATTTCGTGCCTAAATCTAAATTTGTCTAATTTAAAACCATTGCTGCAAGTATGCTCCTGGTTGGATAGTTTGAGTACCTTTGTTATATCACCTTTGTTTAGCCCTGACTTCCATTTATACACCTCTATCGTATCGCCTCTCACTCTACGTCTCTCGAGGGAGTGCAGATTAAGATGCTTTAACCGGTCTCTGTACTCAAGGTTCCTAATGCCTGGGATTAGTCTTGTTATTCTCCTCTGAATTCTTTCCAAGGATTCTATATCCATTCTGTAATACGGTGACCAGAACTGAACCACGTCATCTAAGTGAATCTCACAAGTGCAAGATATAGTTTTAGGATGACCTCGCTAGTCTTGTAACTAACACTCCTTTGTATGAACCCAAGTACTTTGTTGCCTTGTTTCGAGTAAATGCTCATTGTTTACTTGGTTTAATATTCCTACTTGTCATTACTCTAAATCTTTCTCACACTCAGATTTTCTATAGCAATATTGTTCATCTTATATCTGGTTTTTCTGTTTACATCTCCTAGACTAAGTTCTTTACATTTTTCCACATTAAATTTCATTTGCTAGTTTTCAGGCCATGCAAATTTTTTTTTATAAATATTACTGTAGCTTTGCAGAGTCCTCGTCTGATTTAATTACCGGTACACTCGCTATTTTAGCGTCGTCAACAAATTTACTTATATTGCTGTCTCAGCCTATATCTATGTCGTTTATGTATACAGTACTATAATAAATAGTAATGGTCCAAGTACTGAGCCTTGGGGTACGCCACTAGTGACATTACCCCAATCGGATTTATTGCCGTCAATGCTTACTCGCCGTTTCTTGTCGTGTAACCACGCCCTAATCCATTTTACAATATCTCCTCCAAATCCATGAGCCTCTACTTTTTATGTTCGTCTTTCTTAGGAGGGACTGTCAAACGCTTTGCTGAAGTCTAGGTATATTTCATCATAATTATGTGCTGAGGCCAGAAATATTATATATGGTGGAGGTTGAAAAAGGCTAAAGCAAACATGGAAGTCTTAAAAATACGTCAACTTGTCTTTTGGTTGTCTCAGTAAAGATGCTGGATACTGCTGACACTTTATAGTACAGTAGTTGTTTTGTTACTTTATATCCCACAGAAGATTCAATACTTTATTTCGGATATTAAGTGTGTCCTGAATGGAAGCTTAACAGATCTTTATTAAGAGAGTATAATATTCCATGGTGTAGTGGATGGGCTGCTGGGTGGAGTAAACTTTCAGAGCTGTGTAGTCGAACATTACATCTGTCTCAAGTGCTTGTCCATCCACCTCTCAAAGATCAACGCAAATGGCAGACACAACCACAAACATTAAACCTAAAAAGGAACATATTAGGTTGGCAATCATGTAAGTACTGTACTGTAATCACATATTCCTTGTACCTTATTACGTAATGAAGTTTAGACCATAATATTGCCTTCACAGGGAGGTACAATGCAAGGAAGAAAGTTAGTATATCAAAAGAACAGTCAAGTTAAGCACGAGTGTGGAGTTTGAGGTTGGTCGAGTGTGAAGTGAATATGCTGTAGTTTGAGTGTAGCAAAATAGTAGAATCACCAGTGAGAAAGAAATAGTTCTTTGTGCTTGTTGACTACTGTACTAATATTGGTGATAAAGAGATGAGAATTTATGAAGTAGTTTTGAACTATTTTTATTCCTGAAAAAGTTTGTTGGATTTTATAGAATCGTGGGAACTGCAGTGTGTCCGGAATTAGCAATCTGTGTGATGGCAGTAATTCTGGAAAAAATAAAAAGATTTTCATAATGTTGACAGATCTTGGCCTCCTTGATTGAGAGACATGTCATACATTTATCTTTATGCAAATATATACAAACACATCTAGTTGAATGTTCAAGTTTATTAAATTATAATATAATTGAGAGAAATGTAAATAATAGTGTAGGTCAGATGTGATGTAGAGGTTCTATAAGTCCAGTATTGTTTCCTAATATCTGACATTGTTCAGAATTGTAAACTCTGCTGTGTGCAAATTGTGTCAGTGTAATAAGGTTCCTGAAAATTGTGGAATTCTAAACTGTACATCAGGTTATTATGATGCTAAAGTATTTCTTATCCACACCAAAGGAAGAAAAAGCCGATTACGTATAAAGTTATTCGTCATGTGTAAATTATTTTTCACTAGTTAGGTCTGTGGTAGTGATTTATTTTCCATGAGGGGAAGATAATTAGCTGTTTATTGTATACAACATTGTAATGCCATGCTATATAGAGAACAACATTGTTTGGCATAATACAATTTATTTATGTGTATATAATATATACATCCAGACATAATACAGTGTAGAGGATTTTAAGAAACTTGAGAAGTGTAGATGAAGGTTTATTATGTGGTGTATGGTAGAGTACTGGGTATATAACTTGTACCACTACCCTATACTGTATATTAATATCATATTGTCTTGGGAATCCTGCATGCCGTGTATCCTGTCCCTAAGCCGTCTTCCTTTACAAAAACTTTTCAGTATAGTAGTTTAAAGTTATGACTGACTGACTTGGGGAAACAATTTGATTGGTTCTTTTGTACTGAATCAGCTGTGAATGAATTCTTGATTGGTGCTGTGGAAGAGAAGATGGTTCATTGTTATGTTGCCTTCTTGGTGTGCTGAGACTTACCGTAACATCCAGTGTGATGTATCTGCACTGCCCCTTACAGGCTCTTGGGCTTTTGGAACCTTATTTCAATTACTGTACTCTCAATTATAATTTAGTAACTGGTATTCTCAGTGAGCCTCTTTTTATATAGTCATTGGAAATATCTTATGTTATGGTTAGGATTTGTTAACATTCTGGGTAGGTAGGTGTTACATTAGCCTGCCACTTTTGGGAACATAACCATTGCACCATTACTTTTACTCTGCTTGATCCAGGGTGGCTAGATACAAGAACCCATATTTACAACTTCCTGTCATTCATTGTCATATGGTCATTCTCACTGATGTAAAAAGTTTGGTCTGTTCTGCTCTTTCTATTTCCACTAGAATTGCACAACACCAAAACTGTGATAAGACTGAGGGTGCTGCTCAAGGTGCAAGGTCATTATGGCATCATGTACAGGTACCACAATACAGTCTTTTGTTGGGAATAGCATTGTGGGTGTAATATATTATTTGGTGCAGTTACATAACAAAAACCAAATTATGGTGGAGGTTGGTGGGAATATATGTGTTACAGAAAGCCACTAGCGATGATTCTTAAGTCCTGCTGGAGATGACCGAGCCATGCGTGTTGAATGATTTGCCTTGCACATTTATGGGAAGCCGTCAACCCATATAACTGTATCTTGTATCATTGCGTCCCATACTTGCTGAAAACATAAACACTGTCGGCTTTTTGTCACTGTCCTGGGAATCCTGCTTCTTCATGTAGTTACACACCATTCCATTTATATATTACTTTTATTCTCCTCATTGATATATTTTTTGTGGGGTGAGTCTTAGTGTGCTGAAATCTCATTAATGGGATGATGGAGGGGAGTGATGCAAGACAGGCAACATGAAGGGGTTAACACAAGGGGAGACCAAGGT